CAGGACGTTCCAATAAAAGCTGTTTGACAATAGGTTTGACATGGTGTTCAACGGTTAAGTCGCGAATCACATACGTGAATTAAATTTAAACCGGACGCAGCTATCTAAGGGTCATAAAAACTAGTTGTCGAAATAATCGTGAAAATCGTGTCGTCAATTATTCGACTGTTGAAATAAATCACAAACTACAATATTGATTCGAAGCGTATGAGTATTTATTTTATTTTTTATTCCAATATCGATACAAATCCAAATTGCATAGATTATTTCGACCAGACATGCTCCGAACCTTAATGCAATCATTTACTTTGTGTCATTATTCTACCGTAGATATAACACGAAATGTTCATTTCGTGCTACATATATAACATATTATACGCAATCAGTCGTGGAGCAGCATAATTGATATTAGGAAGAAAATAAATGACAGTGGTAAAACTGTAAAAATCGAGTGATGCATAAAAAACAAACAAAAACAACACAATAGTCGCGGCATAACTACAGTTGTTATTTTGTTATGAGCTGCGATTGATGGAGAAAACGCAGTTGCAATGCCGCCAGCACTTATGTTACGTATAAAATGTGACATATCCATAAAGTTAAAAATGTGTTTTTGATTTTGTCCCGAGATTAGACCAAATTCCTGTTGTTTTTTTGTTTTCATTTCTACCCATATATTTATAACTGCGTTCCTCGTTTACTCGAAAATGTCAAGCCATTAATGAAAGAACCCTCGATAAATTCTAAATGCACTCCCGATGGGACAAAAAGATTTACTGTTACGACTTACATTTGTTTATATTTTATACTATAGTGTATAACTCGTCAGTCGCCATATATTATCGTTTTAACGATAACAAACATTCGTTTTAGGTATCGTTTTATCCTATAAGTACGCGTTGTTTCCTTTTTAAATTGTTTGTGATTAGCTCTATTGTGTGAAGTGTTTTTTTCTAAAAAATTTTACCCATTTATTTACTTTAATATACTTGAACGTGATTTCGGATTTTTAACAATATATTTGTTACAGAGAGATGAAAATATATAGGTTTTTTTTTTTATAATTTGTTAAATTATATTTTATTATATTATATTACTATATGCTATGGTGCTTATTTTTATAGGAAGTTTCGTTCTGGACGTTAAACATTTGTATAACGTCTGTACACAATATAATGTTTAACCTCATTTTTTTTGTTGATGATAGACTTCAATAAAAAACTAGGTCTTTAGAATTAAATTCGCCAACTATTCTATAGGTTGTTTTCTCAAAGCCGAACGCCGTATTGTTCTTAGTACAGCGTGCGACAATTTTACACGCACGCACACCATCTCATATTATGTCCATCGTTCGACCTTGAAAAAACATTATTTTTCAAATCGTCAAACTCAAAAACCAAGTCAGCTGTGAGTCAGTGTCAATATAGTTTGGAGTGTAGTTTTTTTATTTTTGTGTGTATAGGTATTATAGAATTTTATTTATGTTGGTTAGAAAAACGTTTGCGGAAAAACAAACGATCAAGTCCAAACGCACATACGTCATGATATTGATAAATCATACTGATAGACATTATTGTGATACACTGTACATAATTCTGAGCGCACGATCGCAGCAGACCTCGACCTCGTGATACCACTCGAGACTAGGACGAAGGAGAAGATCGTTCCGAAGGATATTTATTATGCCGCGCGTACACAATACGATACGGTTTAAACAAATGTGTGTGCATCTGGTCCTCGGACTATGTTTTATATTTCAATTCGGATTCCACTGTCTACGTGTCTAACCTACGTATCGCGCGCCTTGCCTGCACTTATATATATATATATATATATAAATATAAACCGAAAAATTCGAATTTCTGGTGCACATTAATACATAATATTATGTATTAATGATTATACGTATATACGACGCAATATGCATTTACACACGGCACGCGGAACGATATGATTGCCGGAAAACCGGTTTTCGGGGTGGAAGGGGTCCGTATGTGTTATGCGAGGGAGAGAGCAGGAGCACTTAACGAGAATTCGTCCAGATCCGAATGATCCGACGACCACACGGAACAAAAAGCACGCGGTCCCGAGTTCACGGCCGCGACTGTGCATCGGACAGAAGTAACCAGATATAGGTACATTCTACATGAGTATTTACAAATACGTATACTACTGACACTATGCTCTTGTGTGTGTGTGTGTGTGTGTGTGTGTGTACTGTGTACTGTGCACTGGCACACGTAAAAAGACACACTCACATAAATATGATATATGTAGTTATAATGACTGTCTAATAAAAATTAAATAAAAAACCGCGGTGAAATAAGAAAAAAATAATGATAATAAAAACAACACACCTATCGTGTGACGACGGGTCGTATACTCGTATATAACAATAAATACGTATTAAATGTACACCTCGTATTGTCACATCGATGACGGTGAACACTTTGATAATATGCGGGTAAATACAACAATCTCGCGCACCGGGGTAGTTGTGTTTGCACGTCTTCTGAATAATATCTATACACAACGTATCACGAACACGATATTATATACTTTGTGTTTGTGTGTGTGTGTGTGTGTGTGTGTGTGTGTGTGTGTGTGTGTGTGT